CCGGGCCAGTGTGCGTTTTACGCTTGTCCCCTTCCTCATTTCATAGAAAGCAGAATATTTTGGTGGTGGGATGGGAAGGGATAAGGTTGATCGTGGCCCCTTTGCAGGTGGGCGGCTGGCATGAAATGTTGTTGGAGCGCAGTTTATGGCAGTAAGGCTCACTGCGCTAAATGTCTTCCTTCTCCGCAGCGCCGTTCTTCCGCTGCCGCAGAATGTGCAGGAATATTTGCTGGATGACGGGACACTGGTAGTTTCAGGGAGGTAACGAATATTCATTTTTGAACCTGTAGATTCTTTCTTGTATAACTTTTACATTCACATTTAAGTACAAGGGTAACAAATTTTATAACTTCATCTAAACTGTCTTTTTGGGTTTTTTTCTCCCCAAGAGAATAGGCCATGTGCAGCTCTCCTATTAACCTTAGCGTGAGCTGTGGTGCTGATAGCATTTGGGGCAACGTTCATATTTTCATTCAGTATTGACTGTATACTGTAGCAATATAGGTGTCTGTGACTAAAAGATGCTTGACTGCAGCCTTTTCAAAAATAAAACCTACGTTTATCTATAAAGCAAGCCTTTTGCGTTGTTTCGGATATGGAAGAAAATGCAGCTGTTAAGGTCAGGAGATACAGGTTTTATTCTTGTATCTGGTTATTATGACTTCCCATGTGGCTTTGGGCAAGTCCCTCTCCCTCTGTGCTTCTTACTTGTCCATAGAAAGCTGTTGTAAGCATGTTTGAAACCCTTGTATACTGTTTGGTTCTGTTTTTCTTCAGTTCAGTAAATAATACATTTGTCTAGCACCAGCTGCCCCCTCCCACTCTATATGTTAGTGCTGAAGAACTGATGGAAAGGTGTAGAAGGTACTTACAATGGTAATACTTTAAGTAAACCAGAAAGAAAGGATTTAAGAATTGTTGAAAAGTAGTCCCTGCAAAACTAGTAGGGGTACCTGGACAAGAAGTTCCATACCATCCTCATAAAGACCCAGTCTGATTCAGAGTGGACCTTATGGGGGCTGAAAATGCATGACCTGAATGATTTTGCCTGTTGATAGGGGGACCTGGTTAAATAATTTTGGCTCCCTGTTTTACCTATGCCATGCCTTTTGGTTGTGTAACAAGTTTGCCTGTGTAGTTCTGGTAATAGCTTAGATGAGGATTTATGTAGGATGGTTTGGGCAAGAATGATTCTGCCTTTGGGCGTCATCTGGTCCAACCCCTTGCCTGAGTGCCTTCCAGCCCTATGTTTCTATGATTCTGTGAAAGTTATGAAGAACTTTGGGCTTCAGCGTGTGTAAATTTGGAATCATCCCTAGAGAGACCATCAGGAAAGCTAATCTGAATTACCTTTTAAAGTGGACTAAAATTCATTAAACTTCTGTTTGAAAAGTCCTTCAGAATTAAAGTGCCTTGAATTAAATTTAACTAGACTTTCTTTAAAGCCACTTAATTCTGAACAGTTTGCTCTGACAGAGGTTGAATGTAGTTTTATTAACCTACTTGAATTACTGCCTTTAATTGATTTAAATTCATTTTCTTGAGTATTTCTATGTAGATAGTCCTCTGGATGCAGTCCCATGTACCTCAGCAAGCAACTACTTTCTGATCAATCCTGTATATTCCCTGTATCTGAGTAGATCATATATATACAGCATGCATTTGTCCTCTACCAGGGACCCACCTGACCAAGCAGGACATGTAGGGTTCTTGCCTATGACTTCTATCAGGGTCAGTCTCATATATCTATATAGATATCTAGATATATGTCTGTCTAATATATATATATATAGGAATAGATAAAAATTCAGTTTTATGCATGTATACATGTGTGTGTGTATGCGCGAGTATAACTTAATTTTCATCTATTCCTCTATACATAGCCTTGGACTCCCTGTGAATACTATAGCTGTCATGTTAGAAAAATAAGCAAATTCTTGTGAATCAGTGTTGCTTTTCCACAGCCCAGTTTTAGACTGTGAAGTGAGAAGGGAGGAATAAAAAAAAACCTGCTACATGCATCCCTTAAAAAACTGGAACATTGGCTCCTTTGAGGCACATGATGCCCTTTCCATACAGTCCTTCATTATTGTTTCAGCTAGGATAATTGATCAACCTATTTTTCTTTTTATTTAAAGTATATGGAAAAAGAAAGCTGGAGAGTACATTAAGTTTAGTGTCAACTTTAGGGCCCAAACAATAGGAAGCATTAAGCAGGACAAGGGGAAATTTGACCAGGTATTTGTTTTCATTTTCAATATACACAATGAAGTGAGGGTTTTTGTAGGTTATGAATTACAAATGGTGTATAGAATTGGAGCCCACAAAAAAGGCTCCAAGTAGCCACTTGTTTTGCCTTATGTTTAATTATAGTTAATAATCTGTTAAACAGAACCATGTTTGGAAGGAGTTAATGTAAATGACATGGACCAAATTTAATCTGCATATGCCAAATGCTCTACGGGTTAGATAGATGGATTCTAGATAGAAGACTTCCTGAATCCTCCCCTCTGCTGCTTTGCAAAGTGATCAGTGTATATGTAAGTCTGGTTAATCAACTACAGAAGTCAGCCTCTACTGTATAATTTCCTGATCAGTACTTTGCAGCCTTATTGATTCAGAGTTACAGAACAGGAAGTTATGGCTTATTTCTAGGAAATGAGAAAATATAAAATTCAGACACCTTAATTAAATATTTTGAAAAGCTGAAGTTACATTTTTTCCATTTGGATCTATAGGTTCTATAAGAAATGAGTTGTCCTTGAGCCATTCCAGACAGGAGGAGCCAGTATTTCTCCAGTCCTGCATCACTATATAAATCTGGTTTAGCAATTGCTATTCAGTTTGGAGCAGGTTTCTGAAAAGCATAAACTGAAGGGTCTGATTATGCAGCTGGTATACATGAGCAGTTTTTACCATCTTCAGTGGGGAGGCATTCAGATGTACAATTTTTAAAAGTCTTCAAACCTGAATCCTTTATGAAATCCCATTTTCCTGCAAAATGAACTTTCTTAGCTAGAAAGCAGTATAATCTACCATGACTCACGATCGCTATCACTTTTAAACCTGGGATATGAAGTTTAGGTCCTCAGAGCTTGTAGTTTGATTGATAGCATGTCTGTTGTTGATTTAGTTCCTTGAAGAATTAATTTACTCTTTACTTGTATATTTAGCAGCATGAGATAACATAAGCATGCTCAATTTGTCGTGTTTGCTGTGCTAAAATACTAAGTTTTATGAAAGACTTGATTATTATTACCTTTTGAGGTGGTTAATGGCATGGGTTCAGGTCACCTGAAACTACAGTGAAGATTTTGATCACCTATTCCACACTCCAGGCACAGGGGATCTGCTATATTAAAGCTTATTTGTACAGAGAGTGCTTTTCTCAGGAGGAAGCAATTCCAACGTGATCTGAAACAGGGGTGGGGAATTTATTTTGGGCAGAGGGCCACTTACTGAGTTTTGGCAAGCCAGCGAGGGCCTCATGACAGGCAGCCCGGGGCAGATGAATATTAATTTACTAATTTTTTTTAGGGGTCCTGTGGGCCAGATAGAAGGACCTGGCGGGCCATATCTGGCCCAGGGGCCGCATTTTGCCCACCCCAATCTAAAACTACAAAAGTCCTTGCCACCACCTCCCATTCCATGTTGCAAGGTGTGCTTCTATGACTCTTCTTCAAAAACAAATGAATGGATCAGCAGCTATAACTGGAATCGCATTACATTTTCCGTTGGGCATTTTGAGGGAGAATATATCCACTTGTCAGCTTACTCATTTGATGAATTTTTGGAAGGTGTTTGTGTATTATAATGATGACACAATAAAAAAAATCTATACTAAAACATTCACAGTATATTCTGCTGCCTGAGTTTAGAATGGTTCCAGAAGTGATAACTACACATTGATGATGAAGACATGCAATCTTGTAACTAAGGCTGCAGACTTGGGCTGGGAAAATCGAGCTGTCCTACTGACATGCAGTAGCTGCTTTTTGGGGGCTTTGAGGACACACAAATGCATTTATTTCTTGTTTGCTCAATTTGTGCTTTAGGGAAGATCCCCCAACACATTCCCAGGAAGATAGTGTTGAAGATGAGGCAGAGGAAATACAGGTTGGCATCAAATGTACTTTATGTGAAGTCTTTTCCAAAATGTATTTGTAATGGTTGAATTTGTAGTTCATAGATTGTACATGGATTCTTTGGGTAAGTCTGATCCCTTTTATTAGACCAACTCAAATAGCTGGAAAAATTCTTCTTTGCAAGCTTTTGGGTACAAATACCCTTTGTCCGGCTGAGGACGAATCTGCAGTTGGTCTGTGCTCTTCCTGGATGGAATGAATAGTAAAGAAGCCAGAGGCTGGTATGCCTGTTATATTCATTCCATCCAGGAAGAGCACAGACCAACTGCAGATTCGTCCTCAGCCGGACAAAGGGTATTTGTACCCAAAAGCTTGCAAAGAAGAATTTTTCCAGCTATTTGAGTTGGTCTAATAAAAGGGATCAGACTTACCCAAAGAATCTTGTCTGTCTAAGTCCTTAAACTAACACGGCTACAACCTATACCCTTGATAGATTGCACATAGCACTTAACAGGATAAGACGCTGTTCCTCCCTGGAGGAACTTACAACCAAAGTTCAGTACATCATAACTTCAAAGAAGTATGGAGACTTGCATTAAAATACTATTTTGCTATTTCTTTTTTCCCCACAAAGTACACATCTTATTTGTTCCTTTAGTAATTGGATTTTTAGACCGACAAGTGAATAAGGGTCGCTGTTGAAAAGTCTATAGAAAGCAATGAATTTTGGGGGAATTGGAAGGAATGAGAGTGGTTCAGAAATAATGCTCCAGGAACTGGAGATACCCAAAGAAAAACAATACAAGTATTTGAAGAGGGGGAAAAGTCTGCAAAGGAGACATGAATACAAGTGAAGTTAGTGAATCATTGATCAAGAGCTGAGAGAGGATTTATTCAAGGACAGTTCTATGGCAAGCTCTGAGAAATCCATTAGGTTGGCTTATTTCTCTATTATTTTAGTAGCAGTATAAATTGACGATTTAAGCCTATCATTAGAACAGCAATAACGCTGAACCCAAGGCTTTGTGCACAAGTAACTCTTCCTAGCCCTGTGATTCCTAAACTGTTTTTTTCCCTCTTTCTTAGTCCATTATTCCTCTTACTTGATATCTTTTACATGTGACATGTTCCAGATACAATAACCCTCTGTGCTATAAACTCTTCATGCTGTTAGCTTTCCAGCATGAGGACTTGATTTGTTTTACTTACTATGTGATACTATGTAGATTTTGGTATTTTATAAATAATATAGAAGTTATGATGAGGACAGTTTAAGAAACCGTTAATCTTTTCTGTTCCTTTTTCACTCAGTGGTCAGATGATGAGAGTACTACAACACTTAAGGTAAGGTTATCTTAAAGCCCTATAGCATAGGATTCCTTTGGCAACTTACTTGGTTGTTTTTTTTAGCAAATTCAGAATTAAGTTTGTGTGTGGGCATTACATTTACCCATTATTGTAATTGATGTTGAACAGGCCATTCTAAAATATACCAGGGAAAAAGAGTTTCTCCTTTATGTAAGAAGGTAGCATTGAAATTTATTAATCTCCCTTCATGCTTGAATCACACAGTTGCCTATAACTTAATTCAGTTGTTACATAAAAAGTTGTCCGTTCTTTCTTTCTGTATAATCAAAAATAAAATGCTTCAGTTTTTGAGACTCTTACTTACTAGGCTAGAGGAAATGAGCAGGAGTACAGTGCTAAATATAACTGGGTTTAATTCTCGCCCCTTTGAATGACTCCCCAATTATCTAATCAGACTGTATGCAGAAGATATGAAGCCCCTGCAGCTTCTCATTTTCAGTGTTCTCTGCACCCTGACTCTCAGACACCTCTGCTGCTGGTTTTTCCACAGCCATTTTTCTATTTCTGTTTTAATTGTCACTGTTTTTTTTTCTACCTGTTTTTGAATCAAGGTTACCAACCCAAGACAATTTTTTCTCTACTGACAATCTGCAAACTTTTTACCGACAACCAAACTTTTTACTGACATATGTTATTTTTTTTTATATTGTAACCCTTTTGTTAAGCACTGGAGGGCTGGAACAAGGGCCAGGTTCAAATATTAGAGTTTAACATCAACTTTCTGAATCTGGCTCAAGCTCCCACCCAGAAACTTGGGAAAATAAATTTAATTCTCCCCTTTTCCCTATTCTGCCAGGTGCCTCAGACAGGCTGGGCCCACCTGGTCTGGCCTACCTTTTGAGGTGAGCCGCTGTTACAGGCAAACAGTGGATGATGGGGTGCAGCAGCAGCACATGGCTTGCAGGGGAGAGGGGGATACAGAGGCTTCGATGGGCCACAAAGCCCTGATAGCTCACTGCAAGGTGCCAAGCTGTCCTTCCACTGGGACACAAGGTGGCGCTGCTCTGCTCTGCTCTGTCCAACAGTACTTGCATCCATCCTCATTATGACAGCCGATCTTCAAACAAGTTCGTTTCTTAATTTTTACAGACGGGATTTTTTACAGAGAGTTGGCAACCCTTCTTTAAGTTCTCTTCATGCTGCCCACTGTCCTTGATGTGGGATCCTTGCTACTATGAACCATGTTCCCCTATTTGCTCCTTCTAATCCTTTCTGAAATCCTTTCTGTCCCCCAAATACTACCCATGATAATGATCTTCCACCACTTTTTGTCTGTTATCTGTACCATACCCTTTCGACAGTCATGTTTGAGACCAAATGTTCTCGTTGTACTCAACTTTGTGCAAAAATGAAGTAATGGCTCCTGAACAGTTTACTTACCAACTCAGAGTTTACTGCCTAAGAACCAGAACCTATAAAAACGTAATGGTTGTGCTTATTTTCACACCTGTGAATGGTCTTATTTTGGTGGAACTATTGATAGACTTATACCTTTGTAGGACTGATGTAAAAGATCACAAATCAGGGCAGGGAGTTTATTTTTGTACGTTACTTTACAAAAGAACAAATGTATTGTCTGTCATCATCATAGTACTAGGTAAAGAGCATCAGGCTGTTGAATCAAATCTCACAATTAGTCATTTAAGGAGTGCTTTAGCTGGTAGTTAGGCAAAGATGTAACTTGGTGTAACTACACTGGCTTCAATTAAAATATTCATTTTTATACCAGTTTAGGATTGTTCCAGAGATCTGGATTAGAGTTCATATCCTTATTTTCTCTACAGTTACAACAGGTTCTACCAGATTAAGTTAGAGAATTTATTTAAAAAAAAAAACCCTTTTACAAAGATCAAGAACAATATACGTTCTGACTTACAAAGGTTAGGCTTTTCTATGTTGGCAGTAATTTGGAACTTGGACTGATGGTTTGGATGTTGCTATATCTGATCCTATATTCAAATGTTTTATTATATAATTTTAATTCCTTACATCACTTAAAACATTGTTTTAACATGGATTAATTGTTATACATTTATGAAAGGTCTTCAAAAATATCAGCATAACTTGGGTGTATATAATTCTGACTTACTAGAGTCAATAGAAAAAGACCCCTCTCTTCTGACCTCCAGAGAACCAGAGGGTGTGTATACCATTCCCTTTTTCCCCCTCGAGATGTTTTACAGAATTTATTAATTTTAGACAAATCAGTGACATCATTTGGGGGGGCATTTTTGCACTCCTTTAAGTATCTGGGGTAACTACAGTGTTGAAATGACATGCTTTTTTCTGTTTTGAAAAGGTAAGATAAAACAAAGTTATAAGATAGGAAACAAATGCCTCTTGAAAACTGAACTGCAAAGGTTTTTAAAACAAAAAGTAGTTGGAGAAACTGTGAAGTTATACAAGCAAACCACCTTTCTAAGATTTGGGTGGGAATAGCTGCTTTGCCGGTCTTGCAATCTTAAGACGGGCAAAGCTGGTTAAACCCTGCTCTGTGCTATGCAACAGTGGCTGTTACAGCTACTATAAATGCTTAAGGAATATGTGACAGAGAATTCTACTACGTCGAAAAGAAAGCTGTGTAAACCCCCCAAAGTAATCCATCTGTGAGAGTGGGCTTTGAAGGGAATGTACTGAAGCAGAAAGGAGTGAGATATGCATCTTGCATTTGCCCAAGGACAGCAAAAATCAAATATAGTGTTGGTGAAAGGTGGCAGGCTGACAGCCCTGGATTAAGTTATCTATCTGCAGTACAGATGCTATGCAGCACAGGCACGTTGCCAGCAAGAGCTTCCTCAGTAATGGCTTGTCATCGTATCTCAAGCCTGAACCGGAGGGGGCCAGGTACCATGGTCATCCTTTTATAATATCTTAGCTGAAATTTATAAAAAGGAAAAAGGACCTGATCAAGGCCTCCTGGATCCATGACAGAACCTACTGTCGACTTCATAGGACTTTGGCCTCAACGACACTAATTATTGCAGTAATTTGTACCTTTAGCCGTTCCTGCAAAATACTGCCAAATTTGGCCAAATTTAGAGGCTCTGAAAAGTGAATTTTAAATGTTCAGTAAGTTTAATTTGGTAGCTAAATACTTCAAAGATTAGGTGTGCACCAATAGAGATTTTTTTGGACTGATTTTAAAAAAAAAAAAAAAAAAAAAAAAGGACCATTGGTAAGGAGCCATATCAGCTGATACTGATCCAATTCTGATCTGCAGCTTGGAGACTAGTGTCAGGTTGGTAAGTCTTGTGGGGGGAGGGAAGGGGTGTGCGGGGGGCAGATGGAGGCCCCCGGGGTGAGGGAGGGAGTGGGGTAGAGGCAGGCGCTGTTCACGTAGTGGGGGGGAATGGGACGGAGCCACGGCTCGTCCAGGGGCTGCAGGGGGGGAGGTAGCTCCTGCTGCTGTGTGTACTGCAGGACAGCACGGGGACATGTGCCCCCAGATCTGCGCACAGGGTGGGGCAGGCTGGGGCTCTGCCAGGCTCTTCCCAGCCCCTTCCTTCCTCAACCCTTCTGCCAGAGCAGACTTGTAAGTGAGATACTGCTCTCCATGCTGCTGGGCTGCACTCCTGGCCACGTTCATACTGCAGTTGTGCACATGCATGGAGCACTTATTGGCCATGCTATCAGCAACATCAGGCAAAAAAAGCCAATTTCTGATGCTGTCGATTTTTCCCTATGTCGGTGCTGATCCAATATGGGACCAGTATAATGGTGCACCTCTGTCAAAGATTCTGTACGCTTTGACCATCTTTGATCACATCATAGCTCCTATGTATTGCCCAGACTGCGTCTGTCGTTCTCAGAGGCTATGTACACACTTTAAAGTAATCTGGGAGAATTCTCCCAAGTTTGTTCTGCTAGTAGAAAAATGTACCCAGAGCTACATGTACAGACATTTTGAAGGTTGTGGCCTTGAAGAGTGAAGAGCTTGCAGTATTGACACTGAAGCCAGGGGGAGCCCCTGCACATGCATCTTGGCATGCTCTGCCAGCTCCCTTTGTTTGCCTAGTGACAGATGGCAGCAGTAGATAGGACAACCCTGATTGGCTGACACACACTGCCCTGGTCATCTTGCGTTTCCCTCCAGCACAAAATAGGATTTTTGAAGGGTGTGTGCTGGATCAGTAGTTCAGCAAGTGAGACCATATTTCCCTAGGGTGAGGGTTATGCTGAAGGACTACGTTCTCTTCTTAGCAAGTACAGACATTCACCCTCCCAGGAGAAGCTTTCCTGGTTGATCCCTGTTTTTTTTTTTTTTTTTTTTTTTCCTCCTGAAGTCATTTTTACTCTTGGGGGGGAAAAAAATGCCTAAACATTTGTACACTTGTGGTTTCTCCCAGGAGAGGAGCACTCTTCTAATAGAAACTGAATGCCTGAATGAGGCAGAGGGACTGAGCATGCTGTCACAGAGCTACAGTGGATGAACAGGACTTGGCCTGCTTTGCTTGCAAAACTTGAGAATGTTTTATAACTGCATAGATGTAAGAGAACTACTTACAGCCATTTGGAGATTGGAGTTACCTGGGATGCTATGTTGAATTGTGTTTTCATAAAGCACCAAACTGGAATTCTCCAAATACCATTTAATGTCACATCATTTATTTATTCTTTAGGATGAAAAATCTTTTGATGCGTGCCTGGAAGCTTTCTGATATTCTTAGAAAGGGCAGGGGTTTATTCCATTTCTCTTTGCTAGCCATCCTTATTAGTAGTATTTGCAGCAGCTTTCTACGTTCTGTGTTTTATTATATACTGCAAACCTCTTATTTTTAAACAAGCATCATATTTGCTCCCTAATCCTAAGGTTTCCTGCCCAGTCTATTTCTTGATGCAAGGTAACTTTACTATGATGTGTAGAGCTGTATTACAGCCCTGCTCCTGCTCATTGTATTACATGAAGCCCCGTTTACTTTAAACACAGAATAGATTGCAAGACTGGAGGTTTGGTTTGTGTGAATTGGCTGTCCTGCAACTCTTGTCTCTAAAGGAATGGTGCTAAATTAATGTGACACAAAAAAATTGGATGCGTTTATACAGTTAATGTGATAACAAAGCTTTGCACAGCTGAACTTTTTAAAGGTCTGTTTCATATTTTGTTACTGAATTGGTCTATGTACTTTTGCACTCATCATTTCTAAACTGAAATTGGATCTGTCATTCTTGGCTCTTTAAAAATAATTTCCCTTTCTACTTGCATATTAGCTTGCCGTAAAGTTGCATTTTTGGGCTGCAGCCTTTTTAGGGGAATGTCTAACATTATACGAAAGGACTATTTCTGTTTGAAACATCTAAAACCATTAAGAAAATTAACTTTTGTCAAACCTTATTTGTGTGCAGTTTGACTGGGTCTAAACTATAGGTGTATCATTTAGTAGCTGCTTATTTGTTTAACTTGCAAAATTGCCATCTTTCATGATTTTTATCATGAGTATTTATATGCAGTATTTTGTTTCCTAAACCTCAGCTCCAGCAATTAGGTTATTAGTGAGAATGTGACCTTTCATTTTAAAAACAAACATGTTTTTAGCTTTCATTTTTGCAGAGACAAGCTTGAAAACAGGAATTGTAAGGGTTCAAGTACCAGAAAGAAAATACTTTTATTTTTAAAATCTTGAGGTTATTCCACCTATGATTTATAGTCCTGCTTATATTTCTAAAACTACCTGGCTTTCATATTACATGTATTGAAATTATCTTCTATTCTTCTCTTCAGGCACCAGAATTTCCTGAATTTGCACTTAAAGTTCAAGAAGCAATCAGTTCCCTTGGAGGCAGTGTTTTTCCTAAACTCAACTGGAGTGCTCCAAGGGTAAAAACAACAATAAAAGAGTTTTAAAGAGTCTTTGTTTTTAATCATTCATTTTGGATGTCTAGGAGGTGGCGGAGGGTGACTGCACCAATCATTGGCAATGCAGTAACTGAGTTCTCAGTGGAGTGAGGTACTGCAGAGAGTCTTGATGCAGCAGTGCTATACAGGGCATTATCTTATCTGAGCCAGTGAAGTAGGCAGGGATCATGTTATGCTCATAGTGCTTTATGAGCTGGAATTAATATGAGAAGTTTCTCAAATATTTAACTCTTCAGCTGGCAAGATAACTTTTCTCCTAAGGAAAATAAAAAGTCATGAAACCTAGGTCAAGAAGATGTACAACATGCCAAGAATCTCTGATGTATTATGCTGCACTCTGAGATTAAAGTCCTGGTTAATAATGTAACACTTGTTTTTCCTGTAGAAATCTAAATATGATTTAACTAATCAGCAAGATCCCCTGCTTCGCATTTTTGTTCCCCATTATTTATGCATTGCGGGGGAGAGAGTTGTTTTCTCCACCCTTCTGCTTGCTGCCTGTTTTAACAAAATAATTTTATCTGGATATGAAATGAGTTCTTCATCCTGTTAATGTTTAGATAAGCCCTGTGTTGATTATTCATAGTTTATGGATAATATTTCAGAATCTAGTCCAGGGCAGCTCAAAAAGTTTATTGATTCTGGACTTTTGCAGTCCTAATCAATCAGCAACATAAAATCTACATTACCAGTATATTGTGGCACAGTTCTTCATATGGAGCAAGTTCAGCAATATCACCACACATTTTTTATATCATTGTCTCATTGTATATGCTCACCTTGAAAGAAATAGCATAGCATAAAATTCTGGCTGGTAGCCACTGAGCACTTATGAAAAGGGAAATACAAAAATGTAAAATGTACGTTTATATGAGAATACAAGAAAAAAATCTAGAGAATCCTTTTAATGGTTAACTAGGCTAACAATGGTAGAGATGGAAGAGAAGGCTAAGCCCTGTTAACTGGCTTGTGTTCAATTCTGTGAGGATCCTATGAGCAAAGACCTGCTGCAACAGGTCTTGTATTGAGGATGAGTGAAGAAACTCTTGCTGAAATCAGTTGCCCATCATTTTAGTCCTGCTTGTCTTTTTCAAGATGCAAGCAGTGTTCAGGTGTCAGACTGTAACTTACCTTCTTTGTTGATGGCTGCTAGTAAAAATGGTATTTTTTTGCTAAAATCCTTTTGTTTTTAGGACGCCTACTGGATAGCAATGAATAGTTCTCTGAAGTGCAAAACTCTCAGTGACATCTTCCTACTCTTTAAGAGTTCAGATTTCATTACTCGTGACTTCACTCAGCCGTAAGTACAGTTCTCTCAAATTGATTTTTTTTTTTTTACCTGATCAAGAGATTCTAAATTCCTTTTAAAGATTTTACTGCTGTTCTTTCTGAAAAGTGACCATGAAATGCATTTTGGAGTTCTATATTTATTGCATCTCCCTAAGTTCTGTATGAAATAAGCTTCCTCCCTGCTTCCCCAAACTTCCAGCTCTCCAAACTGAGATTCTAGCCTGAGAGCCAAACTTTGCTTCTGATATGATGCATGAGAAAAAAAGATTCTGTAAACCAAATTCTCCCCACAGTAACATGGGTAATCACCCTTCCTGCTTTCAACTGTGCTGATTCTGCAATGCACATGAGTAAAACAATGCAGTGACAGCATTATTTGATGAAAGTTTGAGGCCCTGAACCTGAAAACCCAGGAAATGGCTTTGTGGAATAAAGCCATTTTTGTGGAGTTGCTTTTCAGAGTGAATTGCGTTTTGATGGAGTATTATTTCTGATTCTTGAGCAGGTCTTGGTTCCTAGGGGATTTGTTGATACCTGCTTTTGCAGTAATCCAGCATCCCTTTGTCACTTCCTTTGCAAATGCTAATGATCTTGGAGTGCACAAAGTGGACCGAAGAGGGCAGAAATACCACCTCTTGCTGTCATTTTTGGGAGCTTTTTGCTCCTTTGTAACATTTGGACAAATGTATCTCCTGAGCTGTGGCTTTTCACTTTCTTTAAATAAGTGCTTAGAGAGAAAATTAATTGGTATGACTTAAAATGTTTCATCTGTCAACTAGCAGAGGAGAGTCAGTCGGGTAGGAGCATTTGCCAACTGTAGCTTCCAGAATTCTACATCATGCTTTGTGCCAACCCCCCGCCCAAACTACCATTGCTGTGCAGCTGCCTTCTTTTCTGTTCCTGCACTTTTGGCAGTTAACTTTGCAATGTGTTGAGCAGCTCATTATTAGTTTTTTAAAGAGTTAACCAGTTTTTGCCCTTGTTTCTAAATTGTTCTGTAAAGCTTAAGCAATGGTAGCATTCCAGTAGTGAAGTCAAAGCATCCCAGGGAGTTATATTCCTGTATGTATCCATGTCTACCCTGAAGTTGTAGAGCTAAGTCTTTCTAAGGATGGTATTTTGTCTTTTGCAATTTTAGCATTCATTGCTAATGGACAACTTGCATTTGTATATGCAAAGCAAGGAACTGTTTTTCATATCAAGGTATTACCAGAAACTAGGCACTGTACAAACATTCTAAGTCATAAATTCATGAAAAAAAATTTGAGGCCGGAAGGAACCCTGGTGATCATATAATCTTTATCTGCGTTGATTCCCATCCAAGTCCAATGGCTACAATTGAACTAGATTATATCTTTTAGAAAGCAAATCTGATTTTATTTTAAGCCACATTGAGTGAGGACGATTCCATTTCAACCCTGACTAATGATTGATTTCCGTTAAAAAAAAGTGCATTCTTTTTCTAGGCCAAATTTGGTTTAGAACTAGACGACCTGAGGTCTCTTCCAACCCCAATTTTCTATGGTTCTGTGAAGCTTATCCTAATGGCTTTTTCCAGAGGTGGAGTAAGAAGGCTGCTAGGCCTAGTGAGTGCAAGTGGTGTTGCCCATTTTGTGTGCAGGTGTTGCAGGTACAACTTGTATGCTGTTCTTTATTAAATTGCAGTGTTTGGGGAAAATGTACTGGGTGATTACTAGTTGGAGGACTAAATCTGCTAGTCATGGGTCTCATGCTGTCATGAGAAGCCCAGCTGGTAGGAAGAGGGAAAGTGTGGCGCTTTCTTACCAAGGAGATGCCCTTTGATGTTGTCTTTGGGTCTCTTTCTTTTTTATGAGTTCCTCTCTCTTGCATATGTCTTTTTATAAGCTTCACACTGGTCTACTTATTTGAAGGAAGAGAAACGTCTTTTTCCTGTCATACAGACCCTTCTGAGTAATTTTTTGGTGCTATACCTACCAGCTTCTCGTTATTTCAGCTGTAGGTGGGGTGAAAAGAAATCTATATTCTACATGTAGCTTCCCTTTGCTAAGAATCAGGTTGAACAAATGTAAGTTGTGGCATGGCTAACAAATAGCAATCCATGAAAATGAGATTTTTATTGCATAGGAATTGGTCTTTGTCAAACAGCGGGAGGTGTAAAGAGACTGAAGCTCTCTATATACAGGAAGACAGTGCTGTTGTCACTGTTATCTCCATGACTAGATTGTAAGCTACTAATAAAGGCCACTTGCTTTTGTCTGTAAAATGCTCAGGGTATATGTAATTCTACTAGAGGTGAATTAATTTTTTTTTTTGGGTTCCACCTCTCCCCTTCTGTTGCCACAGGCATGCATTATTGTATATTTAGCATTAAAATAATGCTCTGAGATTCCAGTCAAGGTTTGGGAGACCTGTTTTGCATAGTTTTCATACATGCATACAATAAAAGGTAGCCTATAAATTTGTGATCTCTGACTGTAGAATTCCACTATAACTCTCAATCTCTTTATCATTTTGAGTTTGGGCTAATTTTACTATTTTGTTTTAGCCTAATAAAGGGATTTATGGCTCTCTTTGCAGAAGGGTGTACTAAACTACTTGAAATGCTTTTAAATTAAATTACAAAAACCCTCACTTTGCCAGTCTAGAATGGATTTAGATGGGGCTTTTTAATTATGGAGCATCCAAAGAATTACTTATAGAATAATACATTTTTCATTTGAACAATTGCCATATGCTGGTGAGGGGGCAGTATAATTGTACTTTATTTAAGAGATTTAACCAGCGGAAGCTTGCTTCTGTTGCCAGGATATAAATGCACACATTGAGACCTTGGTTATGGTCACAGTGGTTGCATTTACATGAGATGCTATCACCAAATGACTGTGCAGTACCAAATGTGCAGTCCCAGGCACATGTAGACAGACTGAAAATGTTCTGACCAAAGTAAACACACGTTAAAGTGAGACCCTTATAAGCATGTGTCTTTTTATCAGTATTCACTGAGCATGGAACATATAGATTTTAATCTTCATTTAACATTATTCAGTGATGGAGAATCTACCATTTGTAAGTTGTTTCTCTAATTAGTTACTGTTGGTTTTAAAAAATTGCACTTAAGTCTAAATTTCCCTAGCTTCCAGTTTTTAAGCCTGGGGTGTCCAACCCTTTTGAATGTGGGGCTGGATCATGAACTTTTTATCACCCAGTGGGCCAGCGAGCCATATTCAAAGACATCACAGGAAGTTGTATCACATCAGGAAGTGATGTCACGTGACCTTTGACACCATTGAAGTTGCAGAGGT